GTGAGGCGAGCAGGTACGTGAAAATTGGTATCTAATCAATAGTGTGATGTGCCTTTGGCCTGGGCTAATCTTTGAACCCTGGGATGCAACAGTCACGATGGGTCCATCACTGGAGCTACAAACTCTAAAAAGATAGGTGTAGTGTATTGCACCACCCACGCGATATATACAGTCCGGTTAAAAGGAAGAACTCAAAACGCGCACGGCACAGACCGTCACCATCCGTGACCACCGTCGCCAACCGACTGCTCCGCCGGCCGGCCTACGGACACGTCACTCGCCCTCAGCGCCACCCCCACAACCTGCAGTTAACAGAACTGCCGCTAGGTGACACTGGCACACTCGTACGGTACGGAACGAAAGAGAGACACCAGTCCGTAACAGAACACCACATTCTTCCCCCCTGGAAAAAGTTACAGTCTATTTGGCGCACGTCTCGTACGCTGGGACCTCCTCACCGGCTGCGTCCTGGAGTTCACTCTCGCGCCCGGCTGGAGAGCAGGTTCGACCGCCACCAGCCCGGCACCGCTCGCTGCCTCGCGCGGCGACAGCAGTACGCCAGCGTCTTGTTGCTCTGCCTGCCGCTCCGTCGCCGGAGGTGGTGACGCCTCCCGCTCCCGATCGTCCTCTGCGTCTTCCGGTGACACAGCCACGCCGTCCTCCGCGGGACCCCGGCTGGCCTCGGTGTGCCGCCGGCCGACCCGCAGTGACACAGCCTGTCCGTCCTCCAGTGGCACGCCGTCCTCCGCGTGCCGCCAGTCGTCGGCCTCCAGCCGCTCCCCGCGGCGAGGCACAGACGTCGGAGACACCGCACTCCGCTGACCAGCCCCCGGCTGGCCGCTCTGATCCACGTGCAGCTCAGCCTGAGACTGCTGCGGCGCCCGAGCTGTCGTCAGCCGCTCTGCGTGGATCCGGGAGCCGTCATCTAGCCTGTAGCTGACTGGTCCCAGGCGAGACTCCACCCGTCTCGGCTCGGAGTACCGTGGCCGTCCCTTCTTGGGACGCGGCACCAGCCGGCACCGGACCCAGTCGCCGACCTGGAACCGTGGTGTCTCAGCTGCACGCCGCTCGTCAGCGTACAGGTCTCGCGGGTTTTAGCGGTAGGTCGCTCGGCGGGCGGGAGGGCAACTAGCTCCGCCCCTGTATCGGCGACCCTTTGCTCCGCCCAGTTACGCACGAGCGTGTACTACATCACGTAGTAGCGTGGGGAGGGGAGGGTTAGGGTGGCAGCGTGTGTAGAGGCTAGAACCGGTTTCTACCGCCTGGGCCGGCGACCCGTCATGCGGTCAGGAGACAGGGAAAGGTCAGAGGTCGCATACAATGTGCGGTGCTGTGCCCCGTCCTCTCCACGTGCTGACCAGCGCACGACCCCGTCCGTTGGCCAATCGGTGTTGAGCGGTCAAGGTCGTCCGTAGCCAGAGGGCTGAGTGAGCCGGCAGCGTGCCGATCCAAGGTCGCGAATAGTATTAGCCGGTTACCAATGGAGCCGGCAGACGACTGTTTAGCGCTGTTATTTCTTGGGAACGTTTCTGCTAATTATCCGTGACCTGATGAGGCCGGATATCTGGTCACACTACAGTTTTATTTTCTGCCGCACTATAGTTCCAAAACTACCAGACACAACTCTTACCGCAGAAAATGTTGTATGGATTTTTGACATCATTTTTATAAGATAGGCATTTGGGGTCTAGTTACACTAATGTTATTTGTTATCTTTGTTATTTTTAACCCTATTAGTGGCAGGCTCCTGGCTACCCCTATTAGTGGCAGGGGGGCTGTTTACGACCCCCCCCTGATATCTCGAGATCTAACGGGCCGATTTTCAAAATTCAAACGGCATTCGATTTCGCTCAACGTGATCTACATTTCTAAAAAATAACAATTGAAAAAAATGTCAATAGGGGGGTAGAGGGGGGTAAAAACGGGCAAATTGCAGATACATTTTGGACTGTTTATCACGGCCAGGTTTCTGAACCAATCTTAACGCACCTTTTGCCGATCGATAGAGAATGAACCAGGAATTCACATGGATCCTAAAAATATGCATTTTCAAAAATCATAGGCGGATACAGATCATTAAGATTGGGGGTACACAAAAAGTATAGTAAATAAGGTTTTTGTTGGTACTGTTTCTAAAAAGGGTGGTAATGGTCTTGTTATGTTACAATTTTCTTATGAGAGAACGACTACAATTGTATTGGTCATGCATAGGCGGTGTCAGGGCACCTATGTTGGGAGGTAAAACATAGCCCCCCTTTTTTATGCCTGGATCCGCCTATTATAGCAAAAACGTGTCAAAAGAGGATGCACAATAACTTTGTATATGTTATCACATGATACCTTTCATTCACTGTTCGTAAAACTGGTGCATACAGTTATAATATATCAGCATCGTGATCTTCGCCCAAATGACTCGCTTCACGAATAGGACCCCCCAATTCCCAGTGCTCTGGAGCCGCCCCTGGTAAAGCTATGAACTTGAAATTTTCAGGGAATGTGCCCAATTTAGTTTTAGGAAAAGTCAGAAAATTTTAGCATCGTAGCTTCAGCGGTTTCGGAGATATTCCCGAAAAACCTGAGGGGTGGATGAAAACAACCCCCCTGCCACTAATAGGGTTAAAGCCAAATCTATATGAGTCGCTTGAAGAAGCATGATAAAACCATATGATAGGAGATAAATATGCCTTATCCTTCGACTTTTAGGGGGAGGGGGGTCCGAAACGACCTTTCTCCCTTTTTCAATCCATGTCTACCTAAGTAGTTATTGTAGATATCGTCAGTCGTCACCAAACTTTCAGGGACCCTCTGGGCATCAATTTTACACCATGCGGGGCCGTCTTTTTCCAGAGAGTATGATAGGTTGGCCAAAAATGACATCAGAATAACGTCATGGGTCTGCAATTTTCGACAAAAAAGGACTTTTGCGGGAATAGCTGCCACGCCTACAGTTTTGAACATAGATAAAAATGTGCAACACTATATAATACATCCTATTGTATAATGATATACATCATTAAAGCATATTATTTTAGCAATCATTATATTATTTTCAAAAACAGCCGAAAGTTTTCTAAACTTCGAAAAAATCTAGATGTTATAGAACCTAGCCCGCGCCCCGTAGGGGGAACGCCCCCTTGCCCTTTTCCGTATAATCTCCTAAACGACTATAGATATCGTCACCAAACTTTCAGGGCCCCTCAGGTTATCAATTTTACACATTGTGACAAAAAATTTATCCAGAGGCTATGATATGTTGGCCGCAAATCTGACGTCATGTTCTGCCATTTTTAACAAAAAAGGTTTCGCGCGGGAAGCGCTGTCAGGCCTACAATTTTGAGGATAGAGAAAAATATTCCGAAAATACTCCGGCTTGAAAAATCGACTCCAACTCCGACTCCGACTCCAGCTCCGACTCCGGGCATTTCCCTATAAATCCATATCATGATAGAAAAGTTCATGTCAGAGGTCTTTTTATCTTGCCTGAGAATATCATTCGCGCGTTCCATGGCCTTACAGTTATAGATACTCTAAAAATAGCTATCAGTATCATAAGCAGTTTCTAGCTCAGCCGGTCTTCTGGTTTTTCGCTGAAAATGATCGTCCAAACAGAAACATTGCCTTATCTTCGACAAAGTCTGGTTTGGAAACATCAACGAGCATAATATTTCCAAGTGTATTTGGCATAGCTCTCACCGACACCCCGGAGTCGGAGTCGGTAAGATTTTGGCGACTCCGACTCCAGTTAAAACTATCGACTCCGACCGACTCAGACTCCGACTCCGACTCCGACTCTGCAGCCCTGGCCGGCTATCCAACGCCGTTTAAATTTTGAAAATCGGCCGGTAACTTTCCGAGATCTTGGGGGCGGGGCGAAACGCCCCCCCCCCCCCCACGGGTGGTAGGGTCCGCCGATAGCCCTACGGGGCGCGGGCTAATGCGGTCCATCGATATGCCAAGTATCAGATAAATAGCTCGACTTTTTGGAAGACTTATGGTGAAAAAGTTCACAATTGACATCAATTTGTCAAACTCCCATTTTCGGCCGATCTATGCCGATCTATGGCAGCTACGATTTTTGTATAGACATACGTGGCGATCCGCTACTCATGGCGAGTTGTTCGAGAACAATGAGGGGAGTGGTTCGTTCGGCCATCCTTTCAAGTGCAAATAATAATTGTTTTAAAAACGGTAACATCGGAAAAATACAATTCATTGTATCTTTCTCAATAGATTATTGTGGATTATTTCGTAATGATAGATGCATTTTAATAAGCAAAAGATATTTTTAGTCGATCTGAGGCCAGTTTTACCAACAGCAACATCGCCGGCTGCCGGAATATTTTGCCCATAGCGGTTACCTTTTCCGATCATTATTATTTATGATATATTTAGGGGTTATTAGTTGACCTTGAGGGAGACTTCTAAAAGAATACTGGCAGCCGGCTATTTTTCTCTTGGTAACACTGGCCTCAGCACACTTCCATTCTATTCTATGCCTTAACCTATCACCCTGTTCCAGCTCCTCCCAACCCCTGCTTTCATAGACATGCCACACCGGCCGAGCTACAAGGCTGGTGGCGAGCGCCTCACCCCTCCCTACACGCTAAACAGCGCCGGGCTCTCGTGACCTCTGGCCTCCCGCCCGAGGGCTCGGCCGTTGTCCAAGGACGCCCTGCGCGCGGGCCGCAGTGATAGCCTCTACTGAGTCCCGCTTCCATTCACCGTTTACTACGCGCTGGGTTCATTCATGCCTCTGTGTTTCAGCGTCCTACCCGTTGGGTGGCGCCACTGTAGTCATGGGCGACTGCAGGGAAGCCGCGGTCAGAATGCCCCAAACGGCGGATTTTGAGGTTTTCTTTAAATTTCTCCGAAACTATCCGGCATACGGTTAAACTTTTTTCCATGATCATGGTAGGGAGCTATACGAATAAATCGGTCACATCTTTAAGCCTACAAAGCTGAAGACGAAAAAGATATAGCCGGAAAGGCAAAACCTACCCTTAAAACCCGCGAGACCTGTACCTCTTCTGCTTCTTCTGCCTCTTCTGCACTCTGTCTCGCAGCTCACGATCTTGCGGTTCTTCCGTGGGAAGAGCCGCCGCGTGCAGACGTGTCCTCAGCTTCCGTCCGTGCAGAAGCTCGGCTGGGCTCAGCCCCGTCGTGGCGTGAGGCGTGCTCCTGTACGTCTGCAGAAACTTCTGCAGATAACACGCTCGATCTTCGCCGCTCCGGTCCGCCGCCTGGAGAGCACTTTTCACTGTGCGATTCGCACGCTCCACCGCACCTGACCCGGCAGGATGGTACGGCGTGACCCGGATATGGCGCGTGCCGACACTCCTCAGATAGTCTGCAAAAGCTGCTGAGGTGAAGTGTGTCCCGTTGTCGGACACCAGCTCCTTCGGGTAACCTTCTCGAGATGCTAGCGTCTCCAGAAACTGCACCACCGCCTCCGTGCTGGGTTCTGTGCAGAAGCCGACTTCTATCCATTTGGAAAAGTAGTCTACCAACACTACCGCGTATCGGTGCTGGCGGCGCGCTTCCATTGGACCGATAAAATCCACGCCCACCTTCTCCGCCGCTCCTGGCAGCGGCACAGGGTGTAGCGGCGCACTGCGAGTCCGAGCCGATTTGTCCACGTCGGCACACACGTCGCAGTTTCTCACCGCCTCTTCTATGTCCGTGTCCATCTTGGGCCACCAGTAAATGTCACGAGCCCGCTGCTTAGTTCGGACGATCCCTTGATGTCCTTCGTGGGCTAGGGACACCATCCTCGTCCGCAGCGCCGCCGCACTATGGTTGGAAACGGCCTCACGGATGGCCATGGGCAATTTCGGAATATATGTATATTTGGGGTGTCATTCTGTTGGAAATTGATGAAATGTTTTGAATTGGGCAGACAAAAATATTTAGTTACGCATTTAGTCTTCATTATCGTACGTAGAATCGGGAGTTTCTGATAGTGGCTTTTTTGGTGCGCCGTCAAAGGTTTAACCCTCGCCCTGGCAGGGGGGGGGGGGTCGATGCGACCCCCCCCCCCTAAGGTTTTTCGAAGATAGCGTAAAAACGGCGGCGCGCAGCGCCGCCAAATTTGGCACAGCCTATGGGGCAACCTTTTTACATATGACCTGAAAATTTCAGGTCCGGGTGACCTTGGGTCAGGTCACCAGGTCAGAAAAAACGGTACAAGGTCATGGTCAAATTTCAATTTTCTTTTTGCACCTGTCCAACTCACATTTTTTGACTGATTTCCTTCAAACTTTCAGGATGTGCTAAGTTCACCGAGTTGTATAACATATAGTCCGGCTTTTTTGAGGTCACTGACCTGAGGTCAGTTAGAGGTCATTACGTCGTAATGTTAAGCCTATGGGAAAATACTAAATTCGGAAAATACTGGAGATATCCGCTTCGTTCTATCACTTTTGTGCTTTGAAACCACGGTACTTAACAGCAGGTCACTTGGTGCTTCTTTGTTTGGTGTACTTATCCATGGGTCAGGTCAAATGAGGTCAACTGAGGTCAAATGACGTTTTTGCCAATAACTTGGCACATAATGACGCTAGAGCTTAAAAAATGGTATCATTGTGTTCCTGGTGATCAGCCAAATCGAATGATATGCGATATGATGCAATTTGGTTAACTTGAACTTAATTTATTAATTTAAGTTTACTTAAAATTTAAGAAAAACTTTAAGTACACTTAAGCAAGCTAAAAAGTATATCATTCGACGCGCCTTGACGTGCTGAGTTCACTGGTGCTTTTCTTTTTGCTCTATCTTAATTAGATCAAAAGTTATAAGCGAAAAACTTTTGACCTGTTTTTAGCGAAATTTTTACATTTATACCCCCAAAACCCCCCTAAATATTGACCTAGAGCAACCAAATTTGCACAGGGGCGAGAACTCCAGGGGGCCCACCTACCTACCAAATTTGGTGTTTCTAGGTGCCATAGGAGCCAATCGCGAGGGGGGGTCGCATCGACCCCCCCCCCCTGCCAGGCCGTGTTATGAAAGATGCCCTGCCAGGGCGAGGGTTAAACAACCGCGCTGGTGATAGTATGTGGAGTACCTCCATGACGTTGTAAAACTGGATTATTATATATCAAAATAATCCTTGTTATGTTGGCTATCGAGTGGAGTGACTCTTTTTCTCATGCGTGTTCAAAATCAGGAACGGCATTGCATTCTGTTTGCAGTGTCACCACAGCAACATTTGCAAAATTACGTTTATGTTTCATTGGACATACAAAAAGCTCTCCATCGACCTCCATTGAGCTTTTTGGCAAAATAAATCTCTGTTCAATTCTGCGTGAGGGGAACCTAAAAGCAAACTGCGCACTTGTGCGCAAAATCGTCCATGAAGCTTCATCTCCCGAGGCGTACCTACCCGTCGCTTCGTTAGCAGCATGTCGGCTCGTCAGTCGTGCAATGGTTTATCCTAATAAATGATGGTAAGAAGCAGGGTTGCAGAGTCGTGGTGGCGCCAAAACTAACTCCTACTCCGACTCCGACTCCTGTCTCGTTGCCATGACTCCGGGCGACTCTGTCTCCGACTCCGGACCCCTGCCAGTGTTTCGGAGTCGTGATGGAGTTGTTCCGATTCGGACCGACTCTGACTTCCACTGCGGGTTCCTGACCGACCCCGACTCCGACTCCGACTCCTGGCTCGTTGTCACGACTCTGGGCGACTCTGACTCCGACTCCGACTCTGACTCCGACTCTGACTTCAACTCCGCACCCCTCGTAAGAAGTAACTGCTCGCCCCTGCACCTGGAGTATGAATATCGTGCAAACGTGTATGGATATCCTGGAGTTTGGATATGGATATCCACTGACAGAACACCCATACAGACATGCTGTAAACGCCATTACACTGCCAATACCATGGCAAATCCAATGGCTATCTATGATTTTTGATCATCGTTCTACATTTTCCAAAATCTTGAACTGAATCTTGGCAATTTCTTGTGACTACTTCACGACCATGATGACTACTTCACGACCATGATACCATGGTCGTGACTACTTCACGACCATGCATTTCTGAAATTGATCTTTTTCAACTAACCACGTACTCGTATGATAAAATGAATGTCACCATCGTGTTCTACACCCAAAAGTACCCATAACACATGTGTCATGGGCTGCGAATAGGTACCAATTTTAATTTTTGGGGTTATGTGCTTACCTGATTGACCTGACTTTGACCCTGGCCTATATTTGACTGACCCCTACATGGATCTGACACTCTTTTAGCACTTATATGAAGGATTGTGCACAGTTGTGACAGAGTTTATGACGAGAGGCACCGATTGTGAGGTTCTAAAGTCCATGCTACTGAAAGCCTGATTTCAAGTGTTTGACCTGACCTTGACCCGACCGGTGACCTCGAAATTCAACTGTCAAGTATTCATCTGAATTGTCTCGTCGCGTTCTTTCGTTTGCCGCCTCGTGCGTTTCGCTGCGCCTATTTGTTCGCGAGTTATCGGCTGGGGGCGTTGAACGCCCCCCCCCCCGGCAAACAGCGGGTGGGGAAATACCCCAGCAACTGCCGGGTTAATCAGACGCATTTTTTGTCATTTTGATCGTCATTTTATTTCTTAGTTTTTGACCAATCTAAAAAAAGAATCATTAATACTTTTTCTCCAAATTTTTGACCCTTTATGACAAATAGTAGGACACTGTGCGTCACTACGTTGATATTTCTCGCCCTAAAGCATAACAACAATATCCATTCAGCATAGCAGTATTCAAAACATGTTCAAAATGCCTCACGATATCGATGACTTTACGAAAGACCTAGGCGACATATAACATGCTTGCAATAATGACGTCACACATGCGTGACGTGACGGGACCTTGTCGTTTCTGAGTTACTGTATGATGCACAAAAGACACTGGTATACCCATGCAAAGTTTCATCACAATCGGTCCACGCATTAAAAAGTAATGGGCAAAACATTTTTTCGCGTTGACCCCCGGCCATCCGTAAGGCCGTTTCCAACCATAGTGCGCCGGCACGATCACCCGCTGACCGCGGACGACCAGGTCTCCCACCAGGCCGAGCTCCTCTCGGCAGTTGTAGAAGGGCTGCAGCTCTGCCGGGCAGTCGCGGCGCCGTCGCGGCCACCGCCGTGGGATCTGCTGCACCAGCTGGCACAGCACTGGGTCAGTCTGTGTCGCCTCCAGCAGCTCGTCCCGCCGCACTGCTCCGAGCTGGGCAGTCACTGCCGCCACCGCCACGACATCATCATCCAGTTCGCCTTCCTCTGCGCCTGGCAGTCGTGAGAGGCCATCAGCTGGGTTGTCACCGCCTCTGACATGCTCCACGGTGAAGTCGTATGCCATGAGACGTGACGCCCACCGTGCCACCCGTAGGCCGGCTCGGCCCACCCCCGGTGACGTCATCAGCGTTTGGAGAGCCGCGTGATCGACTCGTAGGCAAAACGGCCTACCCCAGAGATACTTCCGCCACTTTTCCACGGCCCACACACATGCCAGGGCCTCTCTCTCCGTGACATTGTATCTTCTTTGAGCCGGGGTGAGACTGCATGACGCAAAACTCACCACTCTCTCTCCCTCAGGGTGAGTTTGGGAGAGCACGGCCCCCAATCCCACGTCACTGGCGTCTGTGGTGACTCGGGTCGGCAGCGTTGGGTCGTACATGGCCAGCGCTCTGCTGCCCAGGATCCGCTGCCGGACGTCGTCCATCACCGCCTGAAGTTCGCCAGTCCACTGGAAGGGTGGCGCCCCCTTCCTCAGCAGGCACTGCAGTGGCTCCACCAGCGTGCTGTACGCCGGCACGAATCGGCTGTAGAAGCCGAACAGGCCAAGCATGGCCTGCAGGTCCTTCAGGCTAGCAGGTGCTCGCAGTTCTCGGAGAGCCTTGATGCGGTCTGGGTTCACTGCCACCCCCTGCTTGGAGATGATGAACCCCAGAAACTCCACTTGCTCTCTCCTCAGCTTGCACTTCTCGATGTTGAGCGTGATCTGGTGCTCCCTGAGCCTCTTCAGCACAGCCGTCAGTCGCCTCTCGTGCTGGTTGGAGGTCGCAGCGTAGATGATGACGTCATCTAGGTACACCTGCACTCCTTCCAGACCACGACTCTTCAGCCCATAGGGACACCTCCTGTACCTCATCAGTCCCTGATGGGTGATGAACGTCGTCAGCGACCTTGAATCCGGATGTAGATCCAGCTGATGGTATGCTGACTTCATGTCAAGGCTGCTGAAGATGGTTGCACCCTGAAGCTGCTCCAACATGTCCTGCATGTCGGGGAGTGGATGTCCGCTGGCTTCCACCGCCTTGTTGACCTCTCGAAGATCCACACACAGCCTCAGTTTCCCGTTCCGCCGTCTGGACACCACTATGGGAGAGATCCATGGGGATGCGTCGACTGGTTCGATGACTCCAGCCTGTTGCAACTTCAACAGATGATCCCGCACCTCTTCCCTCACGGCGTACGGTAGAGGTCTCAGCCGCTGCTGTACTGGGTTGACCTCCGTCTTCAGTCTCACCCTGTGCACGAACCCAGTGAGACTCGGCAGCTCCTCTGGCATCTGCTCCTGGATAGCACACACAGTCGCCCCGTGAATCACGGACAACTTCAGCTTCTCCTGCAGATCCCTGCCCAGCAGGGGCACACCAGCGTCTACCACGTACAGTGAAACTTGGGAGCTGTTGCCGTTCTCTGCCTGCACCGTCACCTGCACCACCCCCTGCACCAGCAGCGATGACCCGCCGTAGGCCTCCAGGCGCACTGCAGTGGGCAGGAGGGGCAGATGGCGGAACTGCTTCCTGTAGACGGACAACGGTAGGATGCTCATGGCCGAGCCAGTGTCAGCCAGCATCCGCAGTGGCTGCTGGTCCACCCGCAGCTCGGTCCACAGGTTCTTCCGGTCGTCATCCGTCACGGCCAGCACTCCAACAGTCCTCACTGGCTTCCTCTTGGTCTGCTTCGTCTTCTGAGGTGGTTCCTTGCAGAATCTGGCGTAGTGGCCCTTCTGCTGGCAGTTGTGACACCTTCTCCAACGAGCTGGACAGCAGGGATCAGCAGCCCGGTGGGGACCGCCACAGCTGGAGCACGGCGAGACCCCCTTCCTGGGAGCAGTCACTGCAGCTATCTCCAGCTGAGCCGGGGAAGAGGTTGGTGCCCGCGTAGCTCCACCTCCACCCACCAGCCGCTGTCGCTCAGCAGCCACCTCCAGCTCCTCAGCCACCTCGAGGATGCGCGACACAGTCAGAGCTGGCTCCCGACACAGCCGCTCTCTCAACCTGTCGTCCCTGCAGCCCTCGATGAACTGCTCACAGATCAGCTGCTCCTGGAGTTCGCCGAAGGCGCATCTGGAACTCAGGTCCTGCAGCTCAGTACGGTACACCGCTGGAGACCTGTCCAGCTGGTAACACCGCCGGAACAGCATTCTCTCCGAATGAGTCGCTCGTGTCTCCGGAAACAGCCGCCGAAACACTGCAGAGATCGCAGCCACCGGGTCGACTGCTGCAGTCGGTTGTCCTTCCTCCTTGACACCATCTTCCTCCTGCGCCGGAATCGCCGCCTCCTGCGCTCCCGGTGCCACGCCCTGCGCCGGTTTCGCCGCCGCGAAATAGAGACGCCGCGCCTCCTGTCCCACACAGTGTAACAGGAGGGCCTCTCGTCGCTGCACAGTCCACTCGTCCCAACCACTCGCCACGGCGAAAATCCTGAACTCGCCCAGCCACTGGGACCAGGGCGTGGTCGGCCGTCCTGGCGCCACTAGAAATGGCGCTGGCGCACGCAAACAGTCCATCGCGGCGATCACTGTTATCACTTAGCGCAGAAGGATCTCAGTTCCTCGTCGCCACTGTAGTGTATTGCACCACCCACGCGATATATACAGTCCGGTTAAAAGGAAGAACTCAAAACGCGCACGGCACAGACCGTCACCATCCGTGACCACCGTCGCCAACCGACTGCTCCGCCGGCCGGCCTACGGACACGTCACTCGCCCTCAGCGCCACCCCCACAACCTGCAGTTAACAGAACTGCCGCTAGGTGACACTGGCACACTCGTACGGTACGGAACGAAAGAGAGACACCAGTCCGTAACAGAACACCACAATAGGCTTTCTCAGAATCCCTCATTACCCCCACCGAAAGGGCTCCATTACCCCCAAAGGGGGCATGCCCCACCATTTGCCGACCCCTGGTATATGTTACATATTCGATAAATAATCCACCGGAATACGAAAGCCCACAAAGTAAGCTTTCTAAAAGTGTGCATTAGTCAGAAGTCAGTGATGACTTAGGCTGCTTTTTACGCGATTGTTTTCGTTGGCGGTCTATTAAAATACACTAACTATATTTCATTGCTTACAACTAAGTCAAATTTGAATATTACGTTAATGCCCCAGTAGATACTTAAAGGGACAGTATCATCGAAAAAAAATCAATGTATGGAGCTGATTTTTTTTACTAGCATTTCTTATTTTTCTGAATCAGAAAAACATAGTTTGAGGACCGAACTTGGTGAAAAATATTGCAACCACATTTCATTTTCATGAGCGAACCACCACTATACAAGCATGGCCGCCAGTTTGGAAGCATGCAAAATTACTACAGAACTGGCGCAGATAATACATTATTGACGCTACGCTTACGCAGTCGTTCTTCTGATTGAGTTGTCCTTAGGGAGAGGTAGCCTTAGGTATTGCCTATAAAAATATCACGTGACAATTGGAGGGAGTGACAATTGGACGTGACAATTGACAATGGGAGAAAATATCACGTGACAATCACGTGATAAACGTCATACATTGGAGGGAGATTGTGATTCAAGCTGGAGGAATTCCTTTGTTGAGCCGCTAGACAGGGCTGGTAAAAAGCGCCGATTCGCTGATAATATCGGAGCCAGAACAATAGCTGTACAAGCTATTTAGGGAGCCAGAAATAAGCGTTTCAACGGAAGTATGCATGTGCAGGATAACTGTTAAGTTTTGTTTCATATTTTCATTTTATTTCTACGACAAACCTTTAAATACAAGATGCCTGAGCACAAATATTAAATTAGTAGCAGCATTCAATTTCCCAATGAGGTCTTATGCGCAATGTTTGTCTACAAAGTACAAAGCTGGTAGCCTATTCAGAATAGCTGTAAATTCTTACCGCGAACAGCGTCAGCATTCATCAGTCGAAGAGCCATCAGTCGATTTCCAGCTTTAACACTACGGAGAATAGGGCTCCGTAACTTTTATCAGTTGATGAGGACCTAGTGTTGAGGGAACGGGGAGCCACAGAGCCTTCTACCATTGGCGGTTCACTGTATTACCGACTAGTTTAGAACACAAATAATGATGTTCAAGTGGCCTTTTCATTTTTATCAATGCAGGGCATGCAGGGTTGCGGCTGGTTGCGGCACGGGCAAACTACATTTCATGGTATGTTGGTTGTTGTTCGTTTGGATTTGAAGTTGCTCCTTTTCTGTATAGTACATCTCATAGCAATATCATAGACCACCTACCTCAATATTTTAAGCTGGTCAAGCTGTGGAGCTAGACATAAATATGGCGCTTGTTTTTATTTTGAAGATGCATACGGATACCTAACTCAAGTGGCTAAAGATACTCATTTATTTGCCAACCAACCCAGTAATGGTTAGCATATTTGTTACAAAATCAATTTGAAGACTAAGATATGTTCCTCTTCTGCATGTTTTTCTTTTTGGTACGTCATACTCAAAATATGCTTATATAAGCAATCCTTATTTATATTTCAGGCATTTTGTAACTAAAATTAATATTAGAATTTCACTTATAGTGCCTTTGTGTTTCAGTTCTCAGCCTAGGACATCATCAATCATGTGTATCTCAGATGATGCAGACAATGACCAGCCTGCGGAAGATCTATGCTAGTGGGTGAGATGATGAAATTTCCTCTGTTGGTGAGTCAGTATTATATTTTTTTGTCAACAACATTCATTGCCTTACATGCATTTGTGCCTTACATTTCTGTCACCAACCAGCTTAAACAAAAGTAGAAGAAATTATATACCTACCTACATTCTTTTGCTGTGTTTGACACCAGGCGATGTCCTAAAATCAGGATACATCAGTGAGCTATAAGTAAAACTAAAATAGTTACTGATGATGTTTAAGGTGTTCCTGAAAAGGACGTTGTTCACCGCACTTTCAAGCCTCTTCTGTTACGCGTGTTAGGAGCCACTTTTGATGGCCAAAAATTTGGTCAGAGCCACCAAAACCATTTTTACCAGCCCTGCCGCTAGAATCCGAAGGAAACAGCGGAAATTGCCTACGACTATTTAATGAATTTAACGGTGATGAATAAGTGCGAAAAACGTTTTGGCTTTATAAAATTTGATGGAATGACCAGGGTAAAAGTTTTATTACTGGCGGTCAATTCAAAACGGCACAAACATTTAAACAGTGAAGATAGTGAAGCACGATTCAAAGTGTAGTACACCTTTCGTACTTTGAGCGGCGATAGCGGGATAACGGTGTGGAGCTTCGAGGATCGGTTTTCAGTTCCCGGACCAGAAAGGTGGGGCCTATGCAATGTCAAATTTCATCAAAATGGTGATACTGTCCCTTTAAACAGCAATTAATTACTGTTCGAATGATGGTACGCATACCCCCATTGCGCCTAGCCAAAGTTACTTCTACCTCGTGTCTTCATTGAAAAATTGATACCGTACTTACGGTATCAATAAAATTAATAAAAATTAAATAAAAATTAATAAATAGAAATTAATAAAATAATAAGTAAAAAATTAATAAAATAATAAGTAAAAATTAATAAAACCGTACATACGGTTCATTTACATGAAGTTCAAAACCCTGAACACAACATTTCTTACGCGAGTTGTTGCCTTTTCTGATAAAATGACGTCTTTTTCTAAAAATGTTAAAGAAATGATATTACGTTTTGTTTTTGAGCAATAAATTAACTGTAAAATCTTAATATGAAATAATCCTTATTTTTATGACTATTAAAAAGGAAAAAATTGCCACTTCTTTGTTATTGACGTCATTAAAAATTTGAATAAACTTTGAGATTGAAAGAGGCAATTGTGGCTCACACGTCCTTGGTGATTTGATCGCAGCTTGAAGAAAAATAAAAATCAAATTGGAAAAATCAAAATAGATGAATCATGTTTTTCTTTCTTGACTTAGATGCCTACTAGTGTTTTGATGCCTTGCATATCAAATAAGTTTGAGACTTGCTCAGAAGGTTGCTTCAAGCCTGGCATATCACACCCCAGAAAATATGCAAGGCAAGAAAGAGCAAGAGTTTTAACTACAATCACTGTTTGACAGTTCATCAACTTCAGTTTCATTTTCCGCAACATTGATAATGAAAAGTACCAGGGTCTGTTGTTCTGTCCCACAACCATGCTTCAGGATTTGGCATTAGCAGGCCCATGTCACTCCACTTTTGATGACATCATAGGGGGCCTCAGGACAATAATGGCGCGGTGCGCCACAATCGCCTCCAAGCTACTTGCCAACAGCTGCCATTTTTTGATTTTTTTTAAAATAAAGTTACAAATAATAAAAATATTGTAATAAAGTTGTTTATTAAATCGATACCTTATTTTAAATCTTACTGAAAAATGATTTATTCATAGTAAAACTATAAGCTCGATGCGTTAATACGTTTCTTTCCTGCTACTGCAGAGGGTTTTTAAATCGTATATATCTTCAAAACCGGGCATTTCTTATCATATTGCTGCTCTTTTTTTTGTCGCTAACAAATTGGTTGGGCTTTCCATTGACATCAACGGTTGAGCAGTAGGTATAGAATGCCATGAATAATCTTTAAATAAAATTAGTCATTTTTACGTTGTAAAGGAACGGAGTACCCCTTGCGAGCATCAGGGGTGACGTCACTCAGGATCTGTCTCTGATTGGTCGGCGGGGGAGTGACTGTACCTTCTATAGATGGCCTTGGGCATTAGATGTCGACACTGCTTCTATTCTGGTTCCTTGTTTATGTTTTCTGTTCATGTAGGTACCTACCCATCTTTGACTTTCTTAACCCCTTGCAAGGGCCTATAACCTATAACCTGTACCTGTATAACCTGTACGGGGACCCGCAGTTGCTACTGTACAGCGACCCTGAGTAAATTGTCTCAGCACCCTCACAGTGAACAAAGATAAGCTGTCAGAGGGCACGCACAGAAAACCTCAGCTGCTCTTGTATAGGGACCGGCAGTCGATATCAATATTATCGGTTGTTACTGGACAGGACAGACGGCTAGAGTTGGGGTTCGTGTACAGTAGCAACTGCGGGTCCCCGTACCTATAACAATACACGCAACGGCTGGGAAACACTGCGCCGGTGCGCCAGAATTGACAGCATCGCTTGAATCTCAGCGACCAATCAGCTTTCGGCCATCCCAGTGACGTCACATTGGCAGCATTTGGTAGCAATTTCCCTCTTATGGCCCGGTAAAGGGACGGACCCCCCCCCCCCCCCTGGCGCTCCCAGGGAACAGTGCGCAGTTCCTCCTTGGATGCTCTCTAACACTGCCTCACCGCCCAAAAGGAATTCGTCTCTGGCTGCTGCGGCAATGCGGCGCACGTTTTGACAGCCTAGCAAGACTGCCCCAGTGTGCCGAGCCGGACCGCTGCTAGGGCTACTGCGTCTCCTGGAGAATCTGGCGCCTCTCCAAGCTCCAGAGCTAGAGTAGCGGGACGATGCTAGAGCAGTGAGCGCGGGCGGCACTTACTTCCGTGCCTGACGTCCTGCTGGAGCCGCGGGTCATATGCGACCTTGGCGTTCTTCTAAGTC